ATAAATAATAAATAAATAAATAAATAAATAAAGGTAGCTGAATTATTCGACATTATTCTACAATTATTCAGCTTTCCTCATCACTTAAGAGGACAATGACATTATCCAAAATTCATTCAGATGATGAAAAAGACTTCACTCATGCAAAACAGGATGTGTAGCCAATCTTTCCCTCTCACGGGGGGAAGTAGGGGCAGGAGCTCTAGTCAAGGAAATGGCACACACAAAAAAGCAATTCTCTTTCGAAATGTACTTTTAACCATCAGGGAAAAGTGAGTATTAACTCACATTTAACTCTTCTATGTCTACTGTGGGGAAAAAAACCGGCTACCAGTCACTGGGCAACCACTGTGTACCCAGCACTCTAGTAAGCTCTTTATCACTATTATCTTTAATCCTATTATCTTTAGAAGGAAGGAATTCTTTCCCCTTAATTTTACATGTGAGGAAACAAGCTGAGAAGAAAGTATGTCATCTACCGAGGTTACTCAGATTGTACATAGGAGCACGGGGCCCCATGTGCACACCCCTACCCACATTTAAAGACAAAAAGAGTGGCTCACACCTGTCATCCTAGCACTCTGGGAGGCCGAGGCAGGAGGATCGCTCAAGGTCAGGAGTTCGAAACCAGCCTGAGCAGGAGCGAGACGCCATCTCTACTAAAAATAGAAAAAAATTAATTGGCCAACTAATACATATAGAAAATATTAGCTGGGCATGGTGGCATGCCTGTAGTCCCAGCTACCTGGGAGGCTGAGGCAGGAGGATCGCTTGAGCCCAGGAGTTGGAGGTTGCTGTGAGCTAGGCTGACGCCAGGGCACTCACTCTAGCCTGGCAACAAAGCGAGACTCTGTCTCAAAAATAAATACATAAAAATAAAAAATAAATACAAAAAGAATAACAATGTATAATAATGTATAACAATGTTTTTTAGTTGCCTACTTTTCAAAACATGTTAATTATCCTTAAATCACTAAAGGACTCACATATAGTTCCTTTCCCCTCTGCCACCATTGATAAGGCCCAGGCTCTGTGGTAAGTACTGGGAATGAAAAGAATAACTAAGGCTTACCGAGCACTTAACAAAGAGCCAGGCTCCCTCGGAACTAATTATTATTATTATTTTTTATTTTAAGGCAGCATCTGAATTTAAACACTAAATTCTTAAAACACATTTAATCTTCATGATGACCTTATGAGGTAGGGACTGCTGTCTCTCCCATTCTACAGATGAGAAAACCAAGGTTCACAGAGGCAAGGAATCTGTCCAGGGTCACACAGCTAAGAATTATCAGGACTTGGATTTGAACCCGGGGAGCCTGATCGGAGAGGCTATGTTATTAAACACTAGGACTGCAGATGTCAGGAGGAGCTCGCTAAATTAAAAAACCCAACGTCTGAAGGCACGGGGAACGCTGAATCCACAGGCCTTTGGCTTCCATTTACTTAAGAACAGGCTATGATGGTTCTCAATGCAGGAAATAACTTGGCAAGGGAACACAGGACGGAGAGCAAACCCGAATGACTACGCTCAGCTCTGCCCACTGCTCAGATGAAGACCCCGTCATCCCGCTCGGCTGCCTGCCAGCACCTCGCTTTTCCATACGTGTTTGTTAAATTCCAGGGTGCAAAGGCTCCGTAAGGAAGTGGACTCGACATGCCTCCAAATTGCCCAACCACCCTATGCATGGTTTCTAAACATCAAAATGACTTCAACTTCAAAAATATATTTGGAAAGGCAGCAATCCCTTCCAAAACAGAGATTTTTTTCTTTCATCAAAAAAAAAAAAAAAAAAGTAGTTTGTTGTTGTTTTTTTTTTTAAAGTATGCTGAACCACAGTTCAAGGAATGCTTTGGAAAAATGTTTAAAACCTCACTGCCCAAGGTCCACGGGAAGAGAGGCAGAACTTTCCAGCACTCACTTGGAAGCTGCAAAGGCAGCGCTGCCTGGGCCCCTCACCTGAGTTGCGAGGGCCTGGGTTTCGCACGTGGAATTACGGAAGTCCTGACCTACAATTCTCAGAGCCTGCAGCAGAGCTTGCTTTCAACCGGATTTCCCCACCAGTGCAAAGCAGCTCACAACCGAGAGACCTTTATTTTTAATTTACGGAGAAAAAGAGTCAACAAATCAAGTCACTGTCGTGTGACTACCTGTAGAACCAGGCCATGAAAGGGGCTTAGTTCTTTCCAAATGGCCTCTGATCAGACTGTTTTTTTATCTCAAAACAGCCCCTTCAAATCAGCCACCAGATACACATCCAAATGCCAGTACTTTTGTACTCTAGGGCAGGGGTCCTCAAACTTTTTAAACAGGGGGCCAGTTCACTGTCCCTCAGACCCGTTGGAGGTGGCACTGTGCGGCCGGGACGAGTCGGCTACAAGCAGGAGAGCAGGCGGTGGGTGGCACCTGGCGGGCCGGTGCGGCCCACGGGCCGTAGTTTGAGGACCCCTGCCTCTAGTGCCAGGAAAACAACCATCTCCTCCAACTTCCCCTGTGGTCCTATTTAAGGTTCTAACCCTGTATTTAAATAGCCACTGGTTCATCCGCAACAACACAGAAGAACATCAGGAGGACATCAGGTTAAATGAAACATGCCAGACACAGAAAGACAAATACCGAGTGATCTCGCTGTACTACAAAAGGTGAACTCGCAAGGCACAAGAGCAGAAAGGTGGTCACCCAGGGGCAGAGGGCAGGGGATGGAAGAGATGTTGGTCAAAGGATACAAAATTTCAGTGACACAGGTGGAAAGTTCCAGAGATCTACTGTATAACATGATGATTGCAGTTAATAACAACATATTGTATACTCGAAAATTGCTGAAAGTAGATTTTCAGGCCAGGCGCGGCAGCTCACGCCTGTAATCCTAGCACTCTGGGAGGCCAAGGCAGGTGGATTGCTCGAGGTCAGGAGTTCAAAACCAGCCTGAGCAAGAGCGAGACCCTGTCTCTACTATAAATAGAAAGAAATAAATTGGCCAACTAATATATATAGAAAAAATTAGCCGGGCATGGTGGCGCATGTCTGTAGTCCCAGCTACTCGGGAGGCTGAGGCAGGAGGATCGCTTGAGCCCAGGAGTTGGAGGTTGCTGTGAGCGAGGCTGACGCCACGGCACTCACTCTAGCCTGGGCAACAAAGCGAGACTCTGTCAAGAAAGAAAGGAAGGAAAGGAAGGAAGGAAGGAAGAAAATTGCTAAAAGTAGATTTTCAGTGTTTTCCCCACCAAAAATTTGATGTGAGGCAATCAAGCATATGTTAATAGCTCAATTCCACAATGTACACACATTCCAAAACATCATGTTGTACACCATAAATGTATACAGTAGTTGTCAATTTAAAAATAAATTTTAAAATATATATATAAAAAAAAAACAGACAAATAGCCACTGGTTAACTTTGTGCAATGCATTAAACTCTCTCCCAGGTTCATGTCCCAACTCCCAAGTCCGGCGTGTAGGACGGGACAAGAGCTCACACTGGCCCCGAGCAACGTGCTTCATGACTCTTCACACGCCGCCGCTTGCCCCCAGCTGCGAGGGCGAAGCCTGCACCAGCTCTCCCCCATCATCAAAGTCGGCAGTTTACAGCCGGGCTCTATTAGCAATGCTTCTCAACCTAGGCTGCACGCGACAATCACCTGGGAGCTTTCAAAAAAAAAAAAAAAAAAGAACTCCCAGTGCCCAGTTAAATCAGACTCCCTGGTGCGGAACCCAGACATCAGCGCTTCGGAAACTTCTCCAGGTGAATTCTCCCCGTGCAGCCAAAGTTGAACACAGCCCCTGTGCCACCTGTCACCAGCCAGGTGACTCCCACCCACCCACACACACACACACACACACACACACACGAGATGCTTGACCTCTGGGCACATCAATCGCCTCCCGGGATGGAGGGACGGCAACCCGAGCCCGTGCAGGCAGAATGCTCAGCACAGTGCCCGGCCCGGCCAGCCTTACGCTTTTAATATTCAGAGAGGGGAATAAACTCCATGAGATTGACTGGAATATCATCAGTGGATCAAATCTTATTTCTGCAGCACCCAAAATTTTGTTCAGGAAGGAGACATGGAGGAGAGACTGAGAAGAGCAAAGGTGGCAGAGCCAACAGGCACCTCAGTCCCGGTACTCAGGGCCTATGGCAACAAAATCTTTCTTTTTTTAAAAGAGCCCCACCCCCACCCCACCCCCCACCCCGTCCTCAGGTGCAAACATTCTCCTGCTCGTCTCATGCCAACTGGATGCAGCTCAACACCAAATGTCTTCCAAATGGTTTCTCTCCATCTGGATGTCTGCCTTCTATTTTATTCTAATTTCTTTAGCTTTTATCCAAAAAAAAAAGTCAAGCAGTTTCTAAACCACCAAACAGTAAGAACTTGTAACTCAAATGATACAATCTGCAAACGGCAAGATTTGAGTCATCTGGTACGGATGGCATCGCATACCTAACCCAAAAACAAAAATTTTATCATCCAAGACACCAACTTTATTTTAAACACCTCCTTTTAAACACCTCAATAAACTAAGCTACCCTTCAGGGAAGACACCAAAGGCAGGAAGCCTAAAGAGAAAGCTGCCCTGCCTACGTCTTCTGACTCAAAAAGCAAGTGCAGTAATGAACCTCTCATTCCAGTTAAGGTATCTAAGAATATCAGCACCCGCCAAGAGACAGTGAGATCTGCCGAAATAACAAACGTTCCCTGCGACCCGACCCATAAATCCTTTTTGTTTGGAGAACAACCTTTAAACTGGATTAGCACTTACCAACATCTAGTCAATAGACAAATTAAGGCTCTAATATAAGTCATTCCAATCCTGCCCACTGGATTTATTTATGCATTTTTCAAGAAGTTATACAGCTTGGATTGAAATCATACTTTGAAAAATACGCAAGTGAATAAAAAAACCTGTAATTGAAAAAAAACGCCACATACAGACAGCAACACACTTCACAAATTTTCAAGAAACTCAGGTGAGCACTCCAGGAAGGCCACCACCTTACCTCTGAATTTCTTAGGTGGATTGTTAAGGTCCCCGGTTTCTGGCTGTACAACACATCGATCATCCACCAAGCTGCAAAGAAGACACAGACAGAAGCTATATCAAGACAAGGGTAGGAAAATAGAACCCTAAGCACCATGCAAAAATTAGATATCCCAGGGCTTTTCCTGTGCAAAATTTAGAAAATTATGCCATATTCTCCTGCCAGGGAGCCGTTTACACTAGAGGTTTCCTCTGCATGGAGCTAAATCGAATTCCAAAAGCCCAAAAGGGTTCTGCTTCTGTGACGCTCCGTTCTCTTAACCACATCCACGATGGATGTGAGGACAGGACATAACACACGCGGACGTGGGAAGACATGGCAAGGGGTCAGTGCAGTCAACTGACGCTAGCAGAGGCGGCAACTCTGCCAGGATGAATGTGAGCCAGGTTTCTGCCCTTAGGGAGTTCAAGGCTAGTACAGGTGCCCTAAAAGCAAACTGATAAAGAAAATATAATCCAAGGGCTGCAAGAGAAGGCAGAAAAAAGCACAACCAGAAGCGAACTGTGCCTGAGGCCATCTGAGAAGCTGCATGCAGAGGAAGTTAGAACAGAACTGTTGGAAGAGCTGAAATACAGGTGGGAGGCTAAGGAGGGAAGCATTTCCAGGTGGAGAGAAACTGGAGCACACATACATGGGGATACGAAAGGATTGTGGAGCTTCAAAAGCAGCTAGTAGGGAAAGCACAAAAAAATTACAAATAAGTAAGTCTAAACTACATCAAGATCCAGTATTTAAAGTCCTGGCCAATCAATCTAACTGGCATGATTTTCTTTTAGGAGAACCACTACAAAAAAAAAAAATTTTTTTTTAACAGATGAGGAAACTGAGGCTCTGTGAAATTACATGATTTCTCCAAGTTCCCAAAACTGGTATTAGTAGGACTGGCTCACTGGACAAGTGACCACAGAACGTGCTACCAGCTAACACACGCTGTGGTCTCCCAGGATCGCTTTAGATTAGTCTGTGCTGCCTCTTATCCCAAAGGCAAGGTACCATTCGGCCTTTACTCTGTTCCTCCAAAATTCACCTCCTAACATCCTGCCTGTCCTTTAAGCCTCTGCACTCGGATGTCGAGTGTGACTCCACACGGTCAGCATCGGTAGCAGCAAGAGAAAATAGCAAGCGAGTGCAAAGGGTTAAGACCCCAATTCAGAGCTCCGCCTTCTTCACAAAGTCCCCCGAAGCCTTTCCTGCCCTTCTCTGCCTCTCCTCCACCCTCCCAAACTCACAGGCGGAGACTGCAAAGGCGCACCAGGCTACAAGTTCCATGAGTGCAGTGGGCTGCGTGCTTTGTCGCCCAGGCTATCAGCTCAGCTATCTATTCGGGGGGTAAATCAAAGTGTGCAGCGTAGCCCCCTCCAGCAGTTTGCCTTCGTGTAAGACCTCCCTGCATGGCCTGAGTTCTCACGCAAACATCAAGAGCAGAACGTGCACAGGTAAAACCAGCCCCTGCCCGGAGCCACTGTGAGTGTAACTACAGTAATGCCACCAGAGCTAACTCGCCACCTCACAGGGCGGGCTCAGAATCCCAGGCAGGGCTGAGCTAATCAATCATCGAGTTCTCCACAAGGAGAATGAGGTGGGAGAAAGGGCCTTCAGTGGCGTCCAGAAGACAAATGAATTGTAGATGGGACTCCTGGACTCAGTTTCTTCACCTATAAAATCAAAGAGTTGGTCGCAAGGATTCTCGACTAGGGGGATTTCATCAGACTTTGTTTCTACATACGCTGATACCAGGACTCTTGTCATCCATCCCCAGTTTACTAAAGCTGGGTGCCAGGATGGGATCCGAGAACCCTCATTTTTCTTGCGCTCCAAAGGAGATTCCGAAGCACACGGCTGAGGAGCGCGTGCCCGTGGGCACTGGGGCTCTCCAAAGTCCTGCTGGAGTTCTGAGGTTCCACGAGTCAAGAAAACCATTCAGGCCGGGCACGGTGGCTCACGCCTGTCATCCTAGCACTCTGGGAGGCTGAGGCAGGAGGATCGCTCAAGGTCAGGAGTTTGAGACCAGCCTGAGCAAGAGCGAGACCCCATCTGTCTCTACTATAAATAGAAAGAAATTAATTGGCCAGCTAACAATATATACCAAAAATTAGCCGGGCATGGTGGTGCATGCCTGTAGTCCCAGCTACTTGGGAAGCTGAGGCAGGAGGATCGCTTGAGCCCAGGAGTCTGAGGTTGCTGTGGGCGAGGCTGACGCCACGGCACTCTAGCCCGGGTGACAGAGTGAGACTCTGTCTCAAAAATAAAAAAGAATAGATGCCCAGGTAGCACGGGAGAGAGGGAAAGAAGGTGCTAAGATCTGAGGGGCTCAGGAGGCCCTCGGGTGGCTGGGAGGACAGAGGCCCCAGGGGAAAAGTGACATATGGTGGCACTGAGGCTTAATAGGGTGTCCAGACAGGAGCTGTGAGCAGACACGGAGGAGGAAGAGACTGACCCGCAGAGGGTCACCGGTAGCAGCCCTAGCCTTGGGTCACCAGGTCTTCCGGGCTGTGAACCCCTGGGCAAGTGACTTCAGCTCTCTGAAGCTCAGAGGTTTTGCCCCCATCAACAGTGAGAACCAACAGTGGACTGAGGATTAGGAGGTGATACAGGCACAGGGCCTGGCCCACGGGGAACGCCCAGGCTGCCATTGATTATTGTTGTCACTGCTAAGAACAAGAAGAGGGTGGAAGGTTCAAACATGGGTGATGAGAAGAGGCAGGAGCACAAGCCAAGAAGAAAGAAGGGGACAGTCAGAAAGGGGCGCGCAGCTGGAGGCCTCTTTGCCAAAAGCCAGACAAGGTAAATTGTTAAGGGCGGTGGGTCTGTAACGCAGAGCGGTCAAACGCAGAAACGGTCACTGGATTTGGTGACTTCTTTTCATTGGATGACTTTCCAAAGTGAAATCTCATGCGATGAGAGAACAGGTCTAACTAAGCTCTGATTCTGCATCTGAAATAACTTGCTCCTTGAGGGTGGAGTGACCCAGAGGAGAGCCTGGGAATACTTATTCTGCACAACTACCAGAAAACAAGCATGCTTTAAATAATAGCTAGAATTTTTTTTCTTTTAAAGGTTTTGGCTGCTACAAGAACAAGGTTCTTAGAGAAGCTGTTGGCCTTCCTTCCCCCCATTTAGTTGAGACCAGCTCTTGCCAAATTCAACAATGCCACCACCCTGGACCTAACTACTCCTTCCTACACAAAGACAATATAGACTGTTTTGGAGTTAACCATCTTGATTCTCTATTCTGCTTCTGTCTGCCTTTGGGGCTACTTCACTTCTCATTTCCTCTTCCAGACAATAGGATTAGGAGGAGAAGGGAGAAGATAATCAAATGAGTATATTGTGGAATATATTTAATACCCTTAAAAGTTGTATAAAGATTGAAGAAAGCAAAAAAGAGCAAAACTCCGATTTATCGAATTTTGTACAATTTATAACTTTCAAATGCATATACCAATTTAAAGTAGGAAAGGTCTGGTTCAAAAAAGAGAGAGAAACATCCCAGAAGTTCTGGTCTTTGCTTATATTACAAATGAGTCAGTATTTGAAAAGAAGAGCTCTTATAAAACTGAAAAGCACTTCTCTGGGGTCTGTAAATGCTCATCTTTAAATTTTATTCCATACACTTAGCACTTTCCCTTCTATATAGGAAGGAACAGCAAATTATAATGAATTCAGAATTAACAGAGCCCTAACTAATGAGGGTTTGCTCTTTCAGAAATAACAGAAAATTGTGTCTTTGTGTAAGAGGTTAAACTTGGCCAACATGGGATTTGATATCTGAGATTTCAACCGCCCTTGGAAAGCCAAGTAAAATGGTGACATTCTTATGTTAGGAGAAAAACAAAAAAAATCACAGCTTTAAGCTGATGTTATGATGTCTTAAATCCTGCCACACAAGAAACTGCATGCTCTTACCCCAAGGTGCTGATAAATCCATTTGTCGAACCCTCGGCGTAAAGAGAACAAATGTCTCCAATATGCAGGAAACTAGACATTTTGTCAGACATCTTTCTCGAAAACCCTAGACAAAGTAAAATATGCAACATTGTTAGAAGGAAAGAAATGCTCAGAAGGGGGAGAAAAAAGTCACTAAGAGTTGGCTTAGCTCAATTTTCCAAAGCGCCTTACTTAAAAGTCAAATTTAAATAAGAGTTTGACAGGCAGGCAATGCAATGAGCCAAGTAAGGACATATGCGACAACATTTTTCCCCCCATATATTATTTAATTTCAGGATATTCCAACAGCAGTAACATTTGTTTCCAACAAAACCACGTCTGGATCGGAGTCTACAAGTCGAGGACCCTCGGAGATAAATACCGCAGTGAATATAAAGGCTGGAGGGAACTTGGCCAAGAACGCCAAAGCCATCAGGGAGTTGGAAAGTCTGACTTAGGAAACATTAACATATTCAATTTGCCTCAGGGAATGTTAAGTCAGAAGGAAACACCTGGTATAAAACGTGGGTCCCGCAAGGCCAGAGGGCCCAGGCCAAGGGAGGAAAGCAACAAAATGAAATTAATAAAAAGGAAACCTGCTAACAAATACCACAAAGTCCTGAAGCCTTGTAAGAATTCAACAACTGCACGCCCAAATGCTGCTTAAATGTCTTTGCTTCTCATCCTTCACACCAAGAAACACTTCCAGAGGGCGAAAGGCCTTTCGTCTGCACCTGGCCCAGCCCCTTCTGTGATCTAGCAAGAATAATACAGTTCCCTGGCCAGGAACACACAGCCGGTTAAAGCCAGTCCTAGAATGGCAGTTAAGTCTCAGACTGAAATCTCTACACAGCCCAGAAATCATTAAACACACACACACACACACACACACAAATATCAACAAAAATATTGATGTGATTCACAGAAACAGTTTTCATCGGGGCCATAAATATTGAGGAGTGGGAGCCAATTGCAAAAAGCTAAATTGACATTTAAAAAACAAACTTGGTTATGTGGGAAGACTGTGTGTTGGTGTGGACCGCAGGTGACTGCCCAAAGTTTCCTCAAACTGAGTGTTGACGCCTAGAGCAACTGAGGGCTTCCCAAGGACCCCTCCTCCAAACCCAGACCCCCTTAGACACCTTCTGCCACCTAATTTCTTCCTCAAGTTCCCCTTCCAGAAACCATTTGGCCCACACCGGCCACAAGCGTCGTAATGGTGTGGAACAATATTGTCTCTCCTTCAGTTGCTCTCTGGGAGCCGGGTTTTCTTTTGGGAAGAATTATGCAGCAGTGATCAGCACGAAACTTCGGGAAGCATCCTCCTACCTTAGCTGGAATGCTAGCTGCGGAAAACAAATCGTTCAAGAACCTCAGTTCACTGCCTGTGACAAGCCACGGGGAAAAGCTAATTTGTTCCCCCCTCCAAAAAAAAAATAAAAAAAATAAAAAACCCAGACATTGCAAGAGAGATAAAGAGCATTTTATAGGATGTGAATTTTTTTGATAGAGGGAGACAGCAACTGAGAACACAGAATAAACTCTCAAACAAAAGAGCCGGCATCTCCAGACATTGAAGAAAGACACACGAGAGACGTGCGAGGGACAGTCTGCCAAGAACTCCTCTCTGGAACCCTGTCAATCATTGCATCATTTCTTCCTAACTGGACATTCTATACCTGAAGGCAAACCAATGTTTTAAACAACATCCGAAAAGGCTGCACAAATGAAACCACTGAGGGCCGTTAATATTTCCCTTACGTGCTTCATATGAAAAAGCTTTATGATAAAGGGTCAGAAGTCAGTGTACTCCCGGGGACCAGTGACGGGAACCATTTCTGTTTGAATTCTGAGTCGGACCACATTTGCGCTGACACATCAGGGCTCTCCGAAGGACACTGGGGATCGCCAAGTGTAGAGGGCAGGTGAGTGCTCGGGCGAGAGGACCAGAGCCTTGTCCAGCGTGACTAACGCTCTCCTCCTGGGACTGCCCTTCCAATGAGCATTCGGCCCCAGTGGGGACCAGAGGCCAGGAAACAGCAGTGTGACTGCTGTGTCTGAACTGTTGCCACCAACTGGACACCTTACTCAGAGATCCAGGCCTCGACGGGGAAGAGCAGGCACACTTCGTGTTCTGCAATGACAAGACTGATGCACCCAACGCTGCCTGCAGTTGGTAATTGCAACAGAGGTGGGACACTGCATTTCCACAGCACGGTTCTGCATAGTTTCCATTTCGGATTCATACTAGCTAGCGCCTACCAAGCACCATCATGCCAGCAGGGAGCAAAGGGTCTTACAAATGTTCTCTCACTCGATCTGCATGACCAACAATGACGCAGGCACTACCATCACTGCTTTTTATTGTTGGGGACACTGAGGTACAGAGAGGTTAAGATGCCAGTCACATGTAATTAGCAAGCAGGAAGGCCAGGGTTATAACCCAGGTCTATCTGACTCTTAAATGGAGCTTTTTATCAACAATGATCTCCATAACATGAGCTAAAATGTTAACCATTCTTATTGTCTGGGTGGTAAGATTAAGGAGAACTATCTTCTTTTGTTTGTTTTTGAGACAGAGTCTCACTCTGTCACAGGGCATCAGGCTAGCTCACGCAACTCAAAACTCCTGGCTCAAGCGATCTCCTGCCTCAGCCTCCAAGTAGCTGGACTACAGGCACGCGCCACCATGCCGCTTATTTTTTGTTTCTATTTTTAGTTGCCCAGCTACTTTTTTTCTATTTTTATAGAAACAGGGTCTTGCTTTTGCTCAAGCTGGTCTCAATCTCCAACCTCAAGCAATCCTCCTGGCTTGGCGTCCCAGAGTGCTAGGATTACAGGCATGAGCCACCACACAGCCCGTAAAGAGTATCTTCTTTTGCACAATTCTATTCCTAATTTTTCTACCACAGCCATGTAATGCTTTCCTAAGTCAGAAAAAAAAATTAAGTATCTTCTTTCTAACCAATATGCTTATTAAGTAGACAAGATAATTGAACAAGTGACCTTTACCCACATTTCCCATTTCCTGCTGAAAACCCAGGCCAGGGCACCCACCGCAGCTAATGATCCTCAACTGGGCAGCCTGCCAGAGGTCCCAGTTAAAAACAACCAAAAAGGGTGGGGAGGACAGATTCTTCCCCAGGGGTCTGAGGCAACAATACCCGCCCCCCATAAAGGACCAGGCAGGGCCGGGCGCGGTGGCTCACGCCTGTCATCCTAGCACTCTGGGAGGCGAGGTGGCGGATTGTTTGAGGTCAGGAGTTGGAAACCAGCCTGAGCAAGAGCAAGATCCCGTCTCTACCATAAATAGAAAAAAATTAATTGGCTAACTAATATATATAGAAAAGTGTAGCCGGGCATGGTGACACATGCCTGTAGTCCCAGCTACTCGGGAGGCTGAGGCAGGAGGATAGCTCCAGCCCAGGAGTTTGAGGTTGCTGTGAGCTAGGCTGACACCACGGCACTCACTCTAGCCTGGGCAACAAAGCAAGACTCTGTCTCAAAAAAAAAAAAAAAAGGACCAGGCAGAAGGCTTCCCTATCTGGCTAGAAACCTCTGGAGGGCTCCCTCTTGGTGGAGGGAAGGAAGAGCTTGGGTAGGCGGGGGAGAGGTCCTGGTGCAATTATCTCTGATGTCCTAGAAGGAAAAACAAAGGCCGGGAAAGTGAACAGCTCAGGCCTCTGTGGCCCGAGTGGGGGAGGTGGAAAGTTGGCCAGTGAGGGATGGCCCGGGAGGAAGCTTCTGGAAGACTTCCTGTTGTTCAGAATCAGGGTGGGAGAGCCTGCCTCTATCTGGCTGTGGGCCATCTGTGCCTGCCACCCCTAGCAGCTGCGCTTGGGCTCCTGTGTCACTCCCTCAAGGACAGGGGACCCCTAGGAGGAAACAAGTGGCACCGACCTGCCAAGGAGCTGGGTGATCCAGGGACTTCGAAAGCTGTGTGTGGACACCAGGGCTCTTTGCAGGACAGGCCAGGTTCAAGCCCCAGCTCTGCCACTTACTCAAGCACAGGACTTCGGGCAAGCTCAGAACTCCCTAAGCCTTGCTTTCCATCTGTAGAATGGGCACCCACTTGAGCAGGACGTCATGAGCTTCAGCAAGACGCTGTTTATAAAAGCATCAGGCAAGCGCCTGCACGAAGCGGCTTGCAATCTACGACACTGTCACCACGAGAACCCCACCCACCACCATCTGACCAGTCAAAGCACCTGTTAAAAAGCAGGGTCCTTCCAGGGTGGCTGGAACAGGGCCAAGAGAGGCCACGAGTACTGCTTCTGGGAGACACACATGCTGATGGAGGCCGCGGCAGCTCTGCTAAGCCTCCCACCACCCCCGGCTGAGCTGCCTTTGCTCTCTGCCCAAACTGCTCCCCGAGCAGTGCATTAAGAAAAGGGACATTCAGGCTGGGCGCGGTGGCTCACGCCTGTCATCCTAGCACTCTGGGAGGCCGAGGTGGGAGGATCGCTCAAGGTCAGGAGTTTGAAACAGCCTGAGCAAGAGCGATACCCGTCTCTACTATAAATAGAAAGAAATTAATTGGCAACTAAAAATATATATAGAAAAAAATTAGCCGGGCATGGTGGCGCATGCCTGTAGTCCCAGCTACTGGGGAGGCTGAGGCAGGAGGATGGCTTGAGCCCAGGAGTTGGAGGTTGCTGTGAGCTAGGCTGACGCCTCCCTCACCCTACCACTACCTGTAGCTAACTCCCACTCACCTTCACAGCCCCAGTTTGCTGTCACCACCACAGGGAAGCCCTGTCTGATTTCCCAGATCTGGGTCATATGTCCCCAACACACTGCTCTCTGTACCATCCCATCACCCCACCTGGGCTCACAACCACTGTCCTCACGTTGCTTGTTTATTTATTTGTCTTCTCCACTGGGGTGCTCCACTGGGAGCAAGGATTACAGTCGTCATCTTCCTGACCCGATCCTACCACCTGGTACAGTGCCTGGGACACAGCACACCCTCAAACCAGAGGCCAGTGTCACTATAGTGCCATCCTGTAGGTTGCCTAGAAGTTTCTAGTGATTTTTAGGTGACTGTTTTCCCAAATACATTAAAGCCAAGTTTACACTGTTGGA